TATATATATATATATATATATATATATATATAAATATATATATATATATATATATATATATATATATATATATATATATATACTCTTCAAAACATATTATAGTCTCAATGAAAGTCGTGTCAAAACCTAAAAAAACGTATCATAATATTTTATTCACAGAAATCCAACACTTGAGTTGTACATGTAGCAAATAGCAAGACTGTTGTAAAATCGCAACGTGGCGGAATACGTTGGTTCTGGTTACAATCCTCTTATGACATACTGTAAAACATGTTTATTATATAAATAGATAAATGCCATTTTAGCGAATTTGACTCTATGCATGAATTAACTGAATCTTAATTTAGCTAAAGTGCTAACAATCTCATTGTGAGAATATACTTTATCCTCAATTAGCGACATCTTGAATTAGCGAAATTACAGATTAGCTAAATTAGCTAAAATAACATGCTAGCTAAAAAGACGTGTTTTACAGTATACTTTGAAATATTCTCAAAGTAAACAATTATCGGTTCGGATCGTCGTAATTTTTCCTAGACCAAGCATTCGTCAAATGACCGTATACACAGCGTCGTTTGTTGACAGGCTAGGCTTCTTTTCCTTGTATTACCTGAACATCCATTATATTAAATCGTGAACATATAATCTTGCGTCAATGGCAATACCCGGATAACATGAAGTGTTTTTGTTCTGGTCGGACCATGTAATGTGTGTTGGTATGATAAACGCATGTGTTAGTTTGAAAGAAGTCTCTTGGTTTTTGTAAAAAAAAACAAAAAAAAAAAACATTTTCACAGAAATTACAAAAAAAAAGGTTTTTGAAAACTCACGGGCAGAAACTAATCATTTTGAATGGACCTAACCACTGTCCTGTGAGTTTCATCCGGGTATTGTGTCAGTGTGTATCTTTGGAATTGTAATTGTGAATATTTAAATTTATCGTTGTATTTGAGTACTAGTCTAGTATGTGTCACAATCAGTGGACGCATTGAATACACGCGCAATTACTCTCAATTCGGCCTCCAGTGAGATACCCTTATAATACACCTGACAAATACACACCTAATTCTCAATTATTCAAAGCGGTGAAGTCGTCACCTGCGCATGCGTCAGACGACCATATCGTGTCGCTGTTTACAAACAAGCGTCTAACCATGAGCCTTTGCTTTTTAACGTTCGTTGTGATCGTCGGTGAGAACGCAGTTTTCGTGCGCGTGCGCACTACAAATCTATTGAATATTTATGTGGAATACTTCTCAGCGAATATTCACTCTGGTTACAAGATAGTTTGTGTTTACAGATAATTAATTATAGTAGTTTGTCTGTAATATTTTATGTAACAACAACCAGTTCCCCTCATGAACCTCAAATATCGACCATTATGAATAAAAACTCCGACATGATGAATTGCGAAATCGATGATCATTATATTCGAAGGTTACGCGTATTCATTTTCAGAACATCTTTGATATATCAGAAGCTTTAGTCTGAAAATATTTGTTATATTTACTATTATTCTTCCTCTAGATATCGATAAGGTTATCGATCTCCTTCGATTTAGACTGATTCTCTCAACACGTATAGATAAAGGTCGCCATTTTGATTCCGGCATGAACTTGAATTGTGTAATCATTTAGGACCATTAAATGCATAAATTCAGACTATGAACAATATTAACATCAATTTTGTATTTTTTATATAGAAATTGAAACTTAAAATCCCCGGTCTAAGAAATTTCTTTGTTATAATTTCTCGTTTCTTGCCTCAAACTAGAAAAGTTATGGTTACTAAAATCATGCATCCAGGTATTCGTCGTATTACTTAGTCGTTTAAAGGACGGCAGTCGTCGTGCCGCGTCCTGTTCGATATGGGACTCATAGCAACATATACAACGCGTGTAGAACTTCGAACACGCGCTGAGCGACGACCACCGCGCTTTAACATTAGGACACACTGAGCATGCGCACAGATTTCTTAGGCGTTGAGGGCGTTCAACCTTCGCGTTATTGTAATCCCATATTATAAAGCAATGATGTATCTACTTTCTCTCTCTCTCTCTATATATATATAATCCATAGAAACAACACCACTCACTCATGGTCACGTCATAAAACACATCATAATAAACGTACTTACCAATGGAAGAGCAAGCGCCAACAATTCTTTTGACTCTTTGAAAAAACGGCCACCGAACGCACTTTTTTTGGGACGGTTGGTTTCACTATCTGGATAGATAAGACACGAATGTAAACAAAATAATCAAATTCGTCTACTGTAAAACTATTTAATTTCACTGACATTTAATTTCACTATTTTGATGGTTTGAGCATTTTCACTGTGTTTTAATTTTACGAATTCATCAAGAAAACAATGAGTTTTTATTGTTATTCATATCACGTAAATTTAATTTAGCGGAATTTAATTATCAGCGAAAATAGCGAAATTAAAACTCCGTGAATAATCAATGCATATTTTGACTTGAATTCACTGTATTTCCAGGCGTTGTTTTCGATATGTATTGTGCGGGTTGAACACCGGGGCTAAATCGTGGGGAGATTACTGTACTATATCTGGAGACTGTCAACCTGCACATTGTACAGAAGCTACAATAAATTCGTTATCAATAATCTCACGATAGAAAGAATGAAACCAATTCTGGTTGTTATTCACTGGGAAAAACGAGTTTGTTCGTTTATATCCTGTATTCATAGAACGAATTGCGTTTTTTGTCCATGTTTATGCTAATGAAAAAGAGCAATGTTTACAGTTTAATCAAGGGGATGTTTTTTGTTAAATATAAAAATATTCAACGTTTTTTTTTCAAATTTAGGACCTACGATTTAATATAATGATTATTAAATAAACCCAACAATTAAACTAATAATAACAATAAAGATCTTGGTGAGGAGGGTTTGTTAGTACTTTGGTGTTGATATATTTCCAATATGACCGCAATCACCATGATGGTGCAGCAAAAACATCGCCGGTTAACATCGCCGCAATGAACATTAATTACATACAATATGTTGATTGACTTTATAAAGAAGCGAACAATGCCAAACGTTCAATCGCTATTGAAGAACATTAACTTAATAGATACTTTGTTGTGTGAATGCGCCATTTTCATTGTTCGTCTAACGAGAAGATAGTGGACCGACGTACCTTGTCTAAACTCCATGGACTTCGCGCGTTTTCTTGACGCATGCATTTTGCTAGATGACATATTTTACACACAACATAAATTTTGAAGCCTCCAATACGAATATGGGAACGGTACGGTTTTCCAATAATATGTCGTCACATTTTACATAGTATGGAGAGCTGTGTTGAACGGTGGTAGTATTTGTGGTACTGAATCACACTTATCGACACATCACGCCCTCTACCGGTATAGACATCGCAATGTTATTATTACCCAGAATCCGGCGGAGCGATATATTTACATAGATTGTGAGTTGGTTTATTAAACTGTTATCGGACCAATTATCAATGCGTTATTTTTTTTATTTTGCCGCGACACAGCGTTGATTGTTGTAAATATCACTTGCGTATACAAACAACGTATTTTACACGCGTTGTTTATACGTCCATTTGTGACGAATATCACCTGCATTTGATAAATTTTATCCAAAAAATAATCAAGCTTCGAATTTGTCAGTATTTTAAAAGAAATCTTACACAGGACATACAATAAAGCGGGTTACTTCAAGTAAACAAAATTACCGTTATAAACTATATATAATTAGATATATTATAACTATTAAGTACTGTCCTCACCGTCTGGATCATAAATATTACTTGTTTTAATATGATGACACAGAAAAGAAAAAAAATGTTGGATCTTTGAAGCCAAAATAGTATGTCTATATAAGTGAGGGCGTGGTATAACCACGAAGTGAATTCTACTACAGAGACATATTTAACTAGACATACTATCATATTTTAGCGTTGCCCGTAATAAGAGTGCCATTAATTGACATTTTATTTTGACTTTATTCCTCAGCTCCTGAGAGCGAGGTTATTTGTAGATATGTTGGCGATCGCCGCTGTGTCTGCGGAAGTACTATGGGAGATTGCCTGATGGGAGTGAAAAGTCTTTTGATCAGTAAAATAATTTTAGAAAAGTGAAAACTAAAGTGACTGTGAAATAAAGGTTGGTTTTCAATATTAAATATCATGACATTTGGAAGTAATAATGAAAGAAAATTGAACTGGTATGAAAGGGCAGTGCATCATGATGTAGCCGGAACGCAAGGTCAGAATCCGGGGTGAAAATACGCCACAATACATACATCAAGGCGGTTGCAAAGTGTCAACAACTATGGATGAGGTAAAATAATTCGTTTGCAGTTTGCGTGAATGGTCGGGAAGAAAAATTCATGCAAATTCTGTGTTTCAATAACAGTATTTGGCATGAAAGGGCAGTGCATGTAGCCGGAACGCAAGGTCAGAATCCGGGGTCAAAATACGTCACAATACATACATCAAGGCGGTTGCAAAGTGTCAACAACTATGGATGAGGTAAAAGACTTCGTTTGCAGTTTGTGTGAATGGCCGGGAAGAAAAATTCATGCAAGTTCTGTGTTTCAGTAACAGTATTTGCTCCTTCTTTTTTTGTGTGCAATGGAAATAAATACAAGAAATGCTGCCAATAAACATGTCATTCTAGTACACAAAACAACCCTGGGACGTTTATCTTGAGAAATTGAGAAGACGAAAATCCCCTGGGACAGTCGTTGTGAAACAATGGACATGCTTCGCCAGGGTATCAAGTTTATTTTGATTATTTGAAGATGGAAACTGCTGCTTTATGGAAGAGCAAAGTTGTCATTGGCACAGTAATGACATTTTTAGAGGGGTGACTCGCTAGAAGTATTCGCCGTGACTCCAGACTTCTCATTTGGGTTCTGTCACCAAACTGTACGTTTTGACGACTGGTATGCACTTCTGGGACTTGTAATAATTTTCTGGAAACTGCATAGCAAATCACATATATTACTTATTAATTGTTCATAGTTTTTATTTTCAGTTTTATTGTTCATAATTATTTACAGTAATAACATATTTTTCCGATTGTGTGCATGACAGCTTTTCCCACACACAATAAGACAGGATGATATGTACGGATATGTGTGGGTATGTTTCATGGATTAATAGGTCACTCCTTTGTTTCAATTCCACTACATCTCTGGAAATATCACTTGCTGTTTATCATCCATATTTTGATATCTCACATAGTGTCACAATTTGACCAGCCTTGCTTTAACTAGTCATTTAAGTCGACTCCCATATTGTCCTTCACAGTGAAGGTTAATGCAGATATATTGTAAATTACACAGAGGTAACATTGCAATACATTTCCCTTCACATTACCCTGTATTACATAACAATCTTTGAGCTGAGGCAGTTATGGTTCTACAACCATCACCAGTTCTCTTGTAAATGTGTGAAATCACCCTTTATCTGTATAGCGATTAGTGCCCTCTGTCGACGGCATCGGTACATCAAACTCGAGCGTCGGCTGAGGGCGCAACTGAGTGCTGACCTTTTACCTCTTCAGGTCGAAGAGTGCGTTGATCGTCTGCCGTCCAGTATATCGATAGTGGTGTATGTCCAATTTTAGTTCACTGACGACGACACTCTCATAGTGTGAAAACATACATCATGTCAGACACTGATGGAGATATAGACGGAGCTACGATACTCTGTCGATCACTAAAAGACCAGGTAAACAACTCGACACTTGTACACAGTATAGTTATTAGTTTGCCAGACAGGTGAACTTTGAGGTGGCATGAGCATTGAATGCCGCTCAAGGTTCATAATGACAACGAACTGTCTGTGATTGTACATACCAACAGTTATGCATTAATTCATTTACTATTTAGCATTAACATTAATATTATATCATAAACTCGTCCTAAAATTACTCTTTATCGTTAATATTGAAATACTGTATTTCCACCATTGTAAAAAATATTAGTAATGACAATGCTAATAGCCTCTACAACAATAGAGGGGGCCCTCTATAAGTTGGAAAGTTAGTATTAAGTTGGCGCTCGATCACGCTATAGAAGTGAACCCCCCTAACATTCCAACTTATTCAGGTGTCCTGCATTGCTAAACTAGTAACTCCATAGTTGAAGTGTCCTGCCAACTTTCATATCATACTGTAGATTTGACAATTCTAACTCTAACCTTTACACTTTAACAATATTTAGCATATCATTAATGACAACATGGTCTGTGCAGCAAATATGAATTAATCAGAAAAATAAATGAAAATATTCCCCTCCCTAACAATGTTACAATGATGCAATATGCAAATCACTATTGTGGTATACAGCATTACGCTTAAAGCTACCAGTTAACATGAATGTATTTTATTTACATATGAATAGAAACACGTCAAATGAAAAAAAAAATTATCACCAACACCACACACAAAAAAAAATCATAGCGTGCACTTTAACAGGACTGATTTTGCCAAAATGAAATCCTTCAAAATCAAGTTGAGTAAGCTTGTTGACTGCATGGGAGGTCTGTGTTCAAGAAAATAATAAAATTGTAAGTGACTGTAATATAGTGTAAATGTTGTGGTACCATATTAATTTTATATTACACATATTGTGTCTGTGATGCATCATATTATTTACCAGTTGTCATGGTACTTATTTATTTTTATTTGATTTTTTTCAAAATGTCACCTTTAGTATATCTATGGTAAGTAATTACATGATCTAAGGCCAATTTTTTGTCACAAATTCACAAAAGCATATTTTTTTTACTATATTGAATATTTTCTTTTTTGTCAGGGTGTTAAGTACATGTTTGGTATTGTTGGATTTCCTGTTATAGAAGTAGGGATTGCAGCACAAGCCGTGGGATTGGAATATGTCGCTATGCGAAATGAACAAGCAGTGAGTAGGCATGGTTACGTTTTCAAATTATTTCTTGATATCGTGTGTATTTTATCTCTAAATTCACTTGATGAAGTGAAGTTAAATTGACAATCTTATTCAAAGATTTAATTCACATTTTTTTTATAATACATAGGAGCATTAAAGACCAAAGTGAAAATTGTCTCAACTTTAAATCTTGAAAAATTCACTTTCAGAAATTGATGGTGCGTTATTAAACTGCACATTTCTGATGAACAGAAGTGCCCTCCCCATCACTCCCCTCCCTCACCCCCCCCCCCTGCGAACAAGAAAAGAAAATTATTTTTAAACAGATTTATTTATTACTGTAGGCTTCCTATGCAGCCTCAGCTATTGGATATCTGACTGGAAGGTAATAATCATGAATTTATTTTTTATCTGTGAAAATTTGTCATTAGCTCAATTTATGACCACAAATATCAGTTTATCTGTCTTTGTTCATTGGTCAGCCATCATCTTGCATATTTGCATACCTATGTATTGCTGTGTGGTTGATATGTTTTTATGATTGTTGTGGTACAACTGTCCATAGTGGTGTATAATAATTGAAATATCTTTCCCTTACAACTGATTCTTTCAGTCAATTCAATTTGTGTTAATTTTAAATTGATCTGAATTGTATATGTATTTTTTCAAGGCCTGGTGCTTGTTTAGTTGTATCTGGTCCTGGATTAGTTCACGCTTTGAGTGGGATGGCTAATGCAATGTCGAATGGATGGTGAGTCCTAAAGTGTAGTAATAATTAAAGATGGACTTGGCTAAGTAATAACAAAAATTATTTGATGCTGAGTGAAACTTTCCATGAAATAAATAATAAAAAATCTAATACAAATCTTGTGTACCTGTACTTGTTTCCATAGCAACACCGAATTTGTGATTTCACTATACTGTAAAATGACTAATTTTCACTGGGTTTAAATTTCGCTGATTTTCCATTTCAGGCATATTCAGTGGGTTTTAAATTCACGGTTTTGTCATTTAGATAATGTGTTCTAAGCTAAATTTTACATATTCACTGGGTTTAGTTGGACCTCTCTCAGATTTGCTCATTTTGTGATGATTTCTTTAATTCTTCAATTGAAATGTGCATTGCTTGCAGCGGGGCTATCTCAGCCAAGAGGCTGCTTGTTTAATATATTCTTCAATATTTTTCGAAATGAACTCTAATTTTGGAGCCAACGGACAAACTTTGAGTCGATTGAGTTTTTACTAAAAATTTGGCTGTTTTTGTCCCAATCTTCTCAGGAAAAGTGCAAACTATAAATAGGACTATTTGGAGAATTTGTTATGAAAAGAGGAACTGGTGGTGAAAAAGTGAAACAGTATTTTAACAGTTACTTGAAATAATAATATCTAATACAGTAACTATGTGATATAAGATTTATTGGTTAAATTGGTTTTCATAAGTTACCAGAAATTACTAGAATTGGAATCCTAATTTGTCATATAAATAAATAATATTATCAGGCCAATGATAGTGATTGGTGGATCCAGTGATGAAGACCAAGAGGGCATGGGAGCATTTCAAGAATTCCCACAGGTAAATTAAAGTGAAACAATTCATAGTGTATCACACATTCAAAAACGACCAATGAATTTTACATGCATTTTTTTTAAAACCCACATAATACACAATGCAGTGCAATGACTGTGACACTCAAGAAAAAGACAGAAAATTAGATTAAAGTTTTTTTTTTTTATTGTACACATATTTATAAGATCAAAATTAAATCCAGAGTAATACATGTATACAGTAAACCGCTTTAATTTTTCAAGAGACACATTTTTCGCGAATTTCACTAATTAGTTAAAAATCAAGACCTTTTGTTTCATTGAAAATGTCTCTGGGGTTGGAGTGTCAGCGACATTCGCATAATTTTGTTTTCTTAGATGCCACGGCAACAAATAGAGAAAATTCGTAGTTACGAAAGTTTTACGGTTTACAGTATGTATTTGAATTCTGAAACTGATCACTTTGAGCTTCGAGGATTGCTGTGTAGATACATATGGTTGTCATGGTGATACATGATATGGTAAATTGTCTCATTCTCAGGTTGAAAGCACGCGGCTGTTTAGTAAATACACTGCAAGACCATCAAATATCTCGAGATTACCCTTCTACATTGAAAAGGTGAGTCAACTAAATTTACAGAGTACACATCGTCACAGTACAAGCAAGCCAGCCATCCATGGCGTTCTTATAAACACATGCATGATCGTGATAGGAAAAGCTGTTTTTGACCTCAGTTAAATCAAAAGATTTGATTGGGCATGCTCAGTTAAATCAAAAGATTTGATTGAGCATGCTCAGTTAAATCAAAAGATTTGATTGGGCATGCTCAGTAAAATCAAAAGATTTGATTGGGCATGCTCAGTTAAATCAAAAGATTTGATTGGGCATGCTCAGTTAAATCAAAAGATTTGATTGGGCATGCCAAAGGGCTGGATCCATCATTCAGCATTTTTATCAACAACTCGCATCAATTTCAAATTTCAACCAATAGATTTGGTCATCTTATATCATGTCATAGTTTAACAGAAAAAACATTTGAGTTTCCATGGAAATGCATCAGAGCATGTGTCGTACTGTTTGTTTTCATCAACTGGGAAATTCACTACGTTCAATTACCCACCATAGACTACGGTCAGTCAAAATGACTATTTTGAACTGTAGGCATTAATCAGCGATTCTGCCGGTGACGGAGAGATAGAATCTAGGTCAGGGGAAGCCCCGTGACCCCAAGATTCTCTTCTATTACGTCACGAACCACGTGACCGAGGCTGGACAATCACTCTTCTTTCATCTTCGCCTCGTCGGAATGATTCTGAGTGGCTCTGCATGGCTCGTTTGCTTTTTCCTGTCTGGGTTTCTAGCGTGGGTTATTGCCGCAGCCGCGGCATTCGGCATTCTAGCTGGTAGGATAAGTTTTTTTTGTCTTATTTATCCTTGTGTCATTTTCCTCTTTGTGTGTAATATTTTTTCACAACGAAGAAATTAAAACCCGACGCTACTACGTAACCACCTTTTACTACTGTAATTCGCTTCCCTAATGCATGTCGTCTTCATTTTATACTTGATCTACGTATTTAGAAATGAATAGATGTAATGACAGCTCCATGACTCGCTGCTGTTTTTTGGTCTCCTCGTTTTCGAGTCAACTGTGCAGTGGTTATATTCAGAATTTACCAGCATAGAACCTTCATCCGATATGCTTTTCGCCATGGCTGCGTGCAAGGTTCGGGGTCTTTGCCTTGAAGGCGTGCGTTTTTCACTGGAGTTCTGATGCCTGAGATATTTTTTTTTTCAGAGCCATCAAAATCTCTGAGACTGGCCGCGTCACTCGTTTTTCCACAGCATGAGTGGAAAGTCCTCACACTCGGAAAAGGCACCATACACAGGGTAGATCAGCCGGAACTAAGTCCAGGCTTCTACCCAAATGTGTTCGTAGTACCAAATCTACAAGTGGCGGACGTCCAGTTCTGTACCTAGGCAGACTGAATGAGTACATGCTCCTCCATCGGTTCCACATGGAGATGCCATTCAGGGTTCTTCTCTCCATCCACCGTTTTGACTGGCTAGCCCCACTAGACTTAAGCGGGGTCCACCTGCACATACCGATGCACCCAGCGAGTTGCCATCTTCTTTGAATTGCCCAGCTGGGCCAAGTATTCCAATTTTGGGTGCTCCCCCCCATTCGATTAGGCACAGCGCCCTATGTGTTCACCAGAGTGATGAAACAGGTAGTGCTGCTGCTTCACCAAATGTCGGTACACCTCATTCTGTACCAAGACAACTGGTTACTACACAACCCGGACAAGGGGTTATTAGCCAGGCACGTCAGGCTAACACAGGATTTACTTTACCAGCTCTTTTGGAAATCGACAAGTCCCATCTCGACCCAACACCCAGTTGGTGTTCCTGGGCATGGAGTTTGACATAGAGGTAAGCTTGGTATAGCTATTTCAAGCATGTTGCTTAGCGCTAAACAGCATAGCCGAACGTCTAGTCAGCGTTCCCTCAGTGTCCCTCCGAGAACTAATGCGGATCATCGGAATGATGACCTCCGTTCGAAGGGTTGTTACCCAGGCCGCATTATGCAGTCGCCCGGTATAACGCTTGTTATAACGCCGAGCTCTCCTACAGGAACTAGATAGGCGGGTTTTGATCTCGGACCAAGTAAAGGAAGCCCTGCCCTGGTGGTCGTCACTGGTCAACCTCGGACAGGGGAACCCCTTGGACCCACTCGCAGATGCCTCCCAAGTTTGGGGAGCGCATCTATTGAACGATCAAGGCACAGGCAATGCAGTGGTGGTCTCCTTCAAGAAGGAGGGGGACACGTTCCCCATCGTTGTCAGTCCTAGCAGAGCAAATCCTCCTTTGGTGCCTGGAATACAATGTGGAGCTAACCGCACACCACCTTCCAGGGATGAGGAACAGTCTGGCAGACGCCCTTTCAGGGCGGCCCCATCTCCAGAACATGGAGTGGCTGATACCCCAGTGGGTAGCCTCCAGGCTGCTTCGGCTGTGGCACGGTCCGAGGTTAGACCGGTTTGCTGCACCCCGGAACGCCAAGCTCCCGACGTACGTAACACTCCTGCCGACTCCAGGAGCCTGGGCCAGGGTCGCTTTGCTAACCCTGTGGACCCACTAAGTTGTGTACGCCTTTCCTCCCTTCCCGCTAGTTCACCGGGCACCGGAAAAAACTAGTAGTGCTTCCGGACTTCCCAACCAGACGGCACGCTTCCAACGAGCTCAGTGGGTATCACATACATGCATAGAGTCTCTCAGTAGACCCGCACATACAAAAGCTTTATCTGAGTGGGCTGCAAACGTCCTGGCCAGGGCGAACAGAGATTCCACTATTTGGTGTAGCGGAAGGGAGATTGATCCATACCATCCCTCTATTGGTAGCAGGCTCCTTCCGCCACCTGTTTGATGAAGTGGGTTTGTCCTACGCAGCGATCGTTGGCTACAGGTCGGCCTGGTCCCTCACCATTGAGAACATACGGAAACAAGATTAGCCGATTGTCCTATTATTAGGAGACTATTTACTGCTTTTCAGATGCCGAGACCCCATACAAGGGAACCGCCTAACTGGAACTTGTCGGCTGTGTTGTCTGCTCTAAGCAGACCACCCTTTGAGTCTCTCCGATCAGCACCACTTAAATTTTTGACGTAGAAAATAGTCTTCCTACTGGCCCTCGCCTCAGGTAGGCGTCTGTCAGAGCCGGGAACATTGTCCTTCTTGGATGATGTACCGCCGTTATGGACAATCAAGTTGTGCAAAAGACACAAATCGGGTTTCTCGCCTAGAACCAAATCCCAGGACACGATCCTCACCCGATCGCCATCCCCCGGCTGTCAAATTTTGTCTGCCTGGAGGGTCAGGAGGAATTGCTTCTCTGCCCGGTTTGAGCACAGAGTTGCTACCAAACCGTACTAAGGACGGGGTGCCAGGCACATTTCTTTGTGTTACGGCCCAGGCAGGCAGGATAGGCCGGCCTCCCCAACTTCCATAACCAGGTGGTTTACTGCAACTGTATTAGAGGTCTATAATACTTTAACTTCCTCAACACAGAGCTTGCACAGACACCAAGTACGAGGTCTGTGCGATTGCCAACTCACTAGTGCTAGCGTCATGTGCCCCTCCCCCCCGAGCACACACAGGGGGCAGGCTTCTGGAGAACCCAGAATGTCTTTATCAACTACCACCTAAGAGACACCTAATCCATTGAGGAGGGTCTCTTTAGGTTGGGTCCCGTCGTAGCGGGTCAGTCTTGGTTTGCTGACCCAGCCCGAACGACCACAAGGGTCCCTGCACATGGTAGCTTCCAGGGCCCGTTTTTCGGCCTATGCCTTCATGCAGAACTGTTTCGGTCTTTCTTTTGAAAGCTTACTACCCCCAGAATTGGGTTGGGGTCTAGCTTTCTCGGGCACACCGAACCCTGTCACCGTAGCAGCATTTTGGCTTCTTGCTCAGGGGACAACACAGGCAAGGTAAGACACCACCCGTTTTGGGTCTTAACTAAGGTGTTGAGTTTATTGTAGTTTGTTTCATCCCGAAAAGACTTTCATCATTTTCTGTTTGCTCGGAAAACCCACTACCCATCGGCGTCTAACTCTGCCTACAGTTCAAAATAGTCATTTTGCCTGACCGGAGTCTATGGTGGGTAATTGAACATAGTGAATTTAGGCAGAGGGTTCTCTGAACCCGCCTATTCACATAGTTCATACCCACCATAGACTCCCCCCCAACCACCCCACTCTTTCTGTAGCGTTGGTCTAAGTTCTTGAGGTGGAGAGAAAGGAACCAGAGTGATTGTCCAGCCGTCATTTTGACTGACCGGAGTCTATGGTGGGTATGAACTATGTGAATAGGTGGGTTTGGAGAACCCTCTGTCTAATACTGGTTTATAGTGGGAATTCTGCCATGGTATAATGGTGAAGCAACGATCAAAGAAATGAACCTTGGCAGGTGAAGATGACAGCCGGATTTACCTGTGCTACTGTTGGTTGATATTTAGAAGGCCTAGTAATGTAACATGTACACTATATTATTGTCTTGTACAGGCTGTTAGAAGTAGTATATATGGAAGGCCTGGTGCTGTATACATAGACATGGCAGGCAATATGGTGAATAAAAAAGTAGCTGAGAACGATGTCAGGTAAGTTTATTCCAGACACTTGCAATATATGGTTAATTGTGACAGCTCTCACTAAAAATTTATATAAACTGTAGCTGTTAAAGTGAAAGTCAAGCCAAGCAATATAAGCTCCACAAATGTAAGAGAATGCTCAATTTCTGATAACAGATTCTATGATGTTATACTATACCCAGAAACAAGATGGCGGACTACATAAATTGATGAACAGTTCAATATCTAGAGATTGAAAAGTGATATAAAAAAACTGTAAATTGCATGTCCTTATATTTTCCAAGCTCTTTTATCTGGGAGTAATATGTTGTTAGCCTTGACTTTCCTTTTAAATACTCAATTTTTATCAAAATCGTCTCCATTCATGGAACTGGTAATTAGAATAGCTTGACAATTACTAGCCATCGAGAGGATTGACATCTACTGGCCACTAAAAACTTTGCATTTAATTTTTCTATAGTTTTGTACAAAAATGTGCTGCTGCGCCACGCATGCTGGCTGATCCCGATACAGTGAAAGAAGCTGTCAGTCTTTTGATGACGTCATCCAGACCACTTGTAGTCATCGGGAAAGGTTAGATACTTAACATCTAAGTTCATTGTTGTAAAACCCTTGTCTCTTTGCAGTAACAGATAGTTACCAAAAAAACTCTCTGGTATAATTTGCTGTGTACACATTTAAATATTAAGAAGCTTGCAATGCCCTGTTGGCTCCAAAATTAGGGTTCATTTCTAGAAATATTGAAGAATGTAAGAAAAAAGTGCAGACAAATTTGGGTGAGAAAGTCTGGTGGTGAAAAGGTTAACCACCAGTTGTGTTTTACAATTTGCTGAATGTGTGGAAAGTTTCGAATATGCAAACAGAAATGAGCATTACATGTATTATTGCCGCATTCAAAAACACATGCACACGCTTTTCGAGTTAGTAAAGTGACTACGAAAACAGGCAGAGATGAACACCATGCAGCCTGTCCAGTTCTTTCGCGGAATCACTCATGTGCATTTAGTATTTCTAGAAACGTATGTTTGTGATTTTGTCTTACAATTTCACAATTCATATTACTTCTCCAATTTGCGTGACTTCTTCAATTTTTGCGAAATCTTCTTGCCATGTCACACCACTTGCATACCCAATAATATACGTTGGCCAACTTGACGTTTAATTAATAACTTTACTTTACATTGATGTAATACGGTACACAGGTGCTGCCATTGCGGGTGCCGAAAAGAATGTCCGCACTTTCATAGAGACGCATAAATTACCATTTCTACCAACACCAATGGGTAAAGGTGTGATTCCTGATGATCATCCACTGTGTGTAGCACCAGCAAGATCCAGGTAGATGTACAATTTGTATTGCTTTGTCAAAGTGATTAGTGAACGCAGAATCAGAGGTTATTTGGCTAACACAGAACATGTGGTCAGGTCCATCATAACTAGTGAGATGTTCAAAAACACCATTTACAACATCGAACAGACTTCTTTCAAACTAACACCTGCCTTGACCATACTAAATACACATTATGTGGTCTGGCCCAGAAAACATATTATGCTAATTAGTTTGAAATTAGCATTCCGATTGGCTGAAGCAAGGTATTATATATTTCACTGGAAGACCTTAGATCTTGATTATGCTTGGTTATTATCTCCCGCCAAATATGCAAATTTTCCCCAGAGAGATCTTATATCCGCTAGCAAATATCCACGCTTGTTGTTTATGACTTCTAAATGTTTGATGATCTAAGTTTTTGAGAAATATCTGATATCTGAAACGCATGCATTAGCATATGAAATTCAGACACTCCTTTGAATGAAAAGCTGAAATGATCGCAAAAATTTCATCATACTGAGAGGTATTGAAATTGTTAGGTACATACATGTATTTTCTGCAATTCATGGAAATTCAGATGAATACTTCACATAATAGTTGTAAGACAACATGACAAACAAAGATCATGGCATCATAGTGGCGACAAAACAGTGCATGGGGTTTGACCATTGTGATCACATTTTTTTTTTGGTATTTACGCTTAATAATTTGCAATAAATAGATTTGATGATGGTCAATTTAAAGGGTACATGTATCTCATTGCTTTATTCTTCTCTGAAAGATCAACATTTTGTCATTGAGCTATAAAAAACAGAAATTCAAGTTCAATTCGGCTTGTGCCTTTTACGCAATACACAGAATCTTGCATGGAAAATAATTCATTCCAATCTTTTGAAAGGTATATGACTTACATTCCCTTATCTCTCATTCACCCTTGATATTACTCATTGTTTACAGAGTCACGATCCAGTATATATTATTATTTTATACATTTTCTGTAGAGCATTGCTAAAAGCAGATGTCGTAGTTTTACTCGGTGCCAGATTGAATTGGATTCTTCATTTTGGAATTCCACCAAGATTTGATCCAAATACAAAGTTTATACAGGTAATCAGATTATGGTCTTTCTGTATATTTTATGCTTGTTAGTGAGAACATTTGATACATTGCAAATCCCATCAAAACAAACATTTGGCTGGCCCGCCAGTTGTCTAGGAGTCATGTAGCAGTTACCCACCAGTTGCCTAGCAGTTACCCACCAGTTGCTAGCAGTCGCCTAGTAGTCATGTAGCAGTTGCCTAGCAGTTACCCACCAGTTGTCTAGGTGTCATGTAGCAGTTACCCACCAGTTGTCTAGGAGTCATGTAGCAGTTACCCACCAGTTGCCTAGGAGTCGTGTAGCAGTTACTCACCAGTTGCCTAGCAGTTGCCCAGCAGTCGCCTAGGAGTCATGTAGCAGTTACCCACCAGTTGTCTAGGATTCATGTAGCAGTTACCCACCAGTTGTCTAGGAGTCATGTAGCAGTTACCCACCAGTTGCCTAGGAGTCGTGTAGCAGTTACCCACCAGTTGCCTAGCAGTTGCCTAGGAGTCATGTAGCAGTTGCCTAGCAGTTACCCACCAGTTGTCTCGGAGTCATGTAGCAGTTGCCTAGCAGTTACCCACCAGTTGTCTCGGAGTCATGTAGCAGTTACCCACCAGTTGCCTAGGAGTTGTGTAGCAGTTGCCTAGGAGTCATGTAGCAGTTGCCTAGCAGTTACCCACCAGTTGCCTAGAAGTTGTGTAGCAGTTACCCACCAGTTGCCTAGGAGTTGTGTAGCAGTTGCCTAGGAGTCATGTAGCAGTTGCCTAGCAGTTACCCACCAGTTGCCTAGCAGTTGCCTAGCAGTTACCCACCAGTTGCCTAGGAGTTGTGTAGCAGTTACCCACCAGTTGCCTAGCAGTTACCCACCAGTTGCCTAGCAGTTGCTTAGGAGTCATGTAGCAGTTGCCTAGCAGTTACCCACCAGTTGCCTAGGAGTCATGTAGCAGTTACCCACCAGTTGCCTAGGAGTCATGTAGCAGTTACCCACCAGTTACCAAACAGTCACTTAGGAGTCATGTAACAGTTGCCTAGCAGTCAGCTTATAGCATGTATATTTCTTCTATAGGTTGACATTTGTCCTGAAGAATTACATAACAATGTAGGAAACAGGGCTATTGGACTTGCTGGTCATTTAGACTGTGTTGTTCAGCAGGTTAGTATTTAGCAGTCTATGAAATAATAAACCTCTGGGTACTTTGACTCTTCATCGTTATATTGCTTTGTATGTACTTTCACTCTATAACACATTGCATACTGGGTACTTTAACTCTAATTTATTATATTGCATTATGGATACTTGCACTTGTTAGTCCTCTTGTACATACATGTACGCTCGGAATTTTGACAATTACATCGAGTTTGACGAAATAATCTGCACTAGTGATTGGCACTTGATAGTCTAAACATCATAATGTTTCTATCACAGCTAACGGAAGCTCTTGGCAAATTGCCTGGCTGCTACACCCATCCAATCAAAAGTCCATGGCGGGATACATTGCAAGAGAAAGTTACAAGTAATGTCAAAGCCAGTGAGACGCTTGCGTCTGATTTATCAGTTCCCATGAACTACTATGCAGTGTTTTCCAAGGTATGTACATCCAGCAGAGTAATGGAAGGCTAGAAATCTACAATATATGATGTTAAAGTTGCATTCCTGTTTTATATTACCGGTATATGCAGTGCACTTCCCACTTATTGTAAATCTGAACAAAACAAATGCTCATTCATATGTGTCCCAGAATGACAGAAGTGATCAATTTTTAATGCAATTAAAGCTTCAACCTTTTAACCAGCAGTTCCCTACTTTCATCACAAATAAACAAAATAGTCTTGTCCATAGTCTGCATTTTCCTCCAGAAGATTGGGAAAATTAGGGTTTATTTCCAGAAATATTGATTACCGGTATCAAGATAAAGAACAGAAAAATTCGGGTGTAAAAGTCTGGTGGTGAAATAGTAAAAAAAAACTAGCCACTATATCTTGAATTTGATCATAATACAAATTGTGTATATGTATGATGTATACAAAAGTTTAAAACTATTTGGTCCATGTGCAAATGGATAACAGTTGCATGCACACAGATATGAAGTCGTAAGTCGGCATTTTAATATCATGTGAGATATGAAATTACAGATAAGAAATGTGTTACCAAAAGATTGCATTATTGTGAGTGAAGGAGCCAATACAATGGATATTGGAAGAACCATGCTACCAAACTATCTTCCAAGACACAGGTAAGAGATAATGTCTCTAAACATTCATAATAAACATTAAAATACCAAGAAAATATGTTTATCACATACTAAGCTAGAAAGTGAAAATAAAAAACAATGTTTAGTGGTTCACTATTGCTCAAATGAAACACAAATAAATAAGAAATAAGGTATACATTCTGTCCATACCATGCATGTATGAAATGACATGAGGTGTTCTGGAGGCCTTCATTGTTCACATACACTCTGCTCTTTGAATGAATGAGCTGTTTAGAACACAATAGTAAAATTATACTTCTGTACACAGATTTATGAATATCAGTTTATTCAGAAGTAATATTTGAACTCTACTTTTGAAATTCTGAGATTTTGGCACCATGTGACTTAAATTCCCATGAAATATTGCCACAGTGGTATTTTGAAATTCAAAAATTTACTAAACTAAAATTTTAGCTTTGATATAGAAATGAACATTTTTGATAATTATTAGCCATGGTCTAGTAAGAATACCTGGATCAGCATGTAATATACCAATACACATGCAATGTTTTCTTTACGAGTCTTACATGACAGCGATTACGCTGGGATTTTATTTGTGGTTTCTTTTATACACAGAAAGGTGCACCATGTGCAACATCATTGTATTCATGGAGAGCAGGCATGTGTTACATCAGCACATCAATCATTATGGATGTGTAGATCCATTCAGCATGTTTATTATTCAAATATGCACTCTGACATTTATGCTTTTCCCTGTGTGTGCAGCTGTTGCATGTAGACATGTGATTAATTTTAACCAATCAGCATCAGGTATACTTATGGGACGACTGTTATGATTTAGATTAGATGCAGGTTCATTTGGTACAATGGGTGTTGGATTAGGATTCGCTATAGCTGCGGCTATTTGGTTGAAAGACATTGGATCTACAAAGAAGGTAGTATGTATAGAAGGTGACAGTGCTTTTGGATTCTCTGGAATGGAAATGGAGACCGTTTGCAGGTATGTAGAATATATCTTTCTTTAATACAATCCATCAAAATATCATTCATAATTTTGTTTGCAAAATAACTGTGATTATATAACCTATTTTGAAACATATTAAAGCGGGGGAGTCATCACCTGCGCATGCGTCAGATGGCCATAGCGTGTCACTATTTACAAACAAGCGTCTACCCATGAGCCTTTGCATTTATAGCTTGTGTTTTTATCGTCGCTTGGGACTCAATTCCTGGACATGCGCCGGTGACAACGCTCTCGCTTCAAATTACATTACATTATATATTATTGCATTTATCTGTAGGTACAATTTACCGATAATTTTCATTGTTGTAAATAACAATGGTATCTCGTTTGGTGTTGATGATGATTTCTATAAACAAGTTAAAGATATGAAGACAGAAACGTCAATGTAAGTTCTTGTATTATACACATATAAATCTTTTTTTCACTTATCTGTTTAAGTCTCTTATAGGATAGTTGAACATGATGTATCGTGTTCAAAACAATTCCCATGCGACATACAATTTGTGTAAAATATGCCACCTTTAAATGATCTCAAGTTATGACTGATTGAAAAAATAACTCTCTACTTTTGCTGAATGTTATAAATTTAGCAAGGGCAAGGCTTTTAAAGTTTCACTATGTTTTTTCTCTCTCTACAGGCTTCCTCCCACCAGTCTGCTGCCAAGTGCTCGGTATGAGAAAGTGATTGAAGCATTTGGAGGGAAAGGATACTATGTTGTAACCCCTGATGCTTTGGAGAATGCTTTGGATTCTTGTCTTAATAAACATCCAAATAGACCATCGTTGATTAATGTTAAGATCAATCCAACCTCGATGCGAAAACAACAGGTAACAAACAACAGTAATACCATTCAGAGGTCAAGCTACAAAAAACATTTGTCTTCAAACTGACCCTAGCTGTTATTTTGATTTTATGTTTTTTTTCAACATTTTTTTGACCGTCTATCATCTCTGCGCCTGTCGTCTGTTTATCAAAAATTACATTTTCATCTTTTCCTTGAAAACTATCAGCTTAATTACTTGGTACCTTTAGTGAACCTCTGTCAGATTTGTTCATTTCATGGGGATATCTTCAATTGTCTATTTTTGTTTACTTTTTTTAGCAAGTACATAAACCCCTATCAGATGTGTTCATTTTGTGAAGACATCTTCAATTTTCTAATTTTAATAAATCTTCTCTTTTTTGGTAAAACAAAACATTTTCAACTTTGAGGTTGCATGTTTTTGTCAATATACAGAATTTTATGTCATCCAAACTGATTCCCAGGTGATGAAAAACCAATGTTTTGTTTGCCAGACCTGAATTGTTTTTATTTAATTTATAAATTCTGTTTTATGTTGCAGGACTTTTTCTGGTTGACAAGGTCTGAAAACAAGCTGTAAATTCTTCAGTGAAGTGATGTTTTTAACATTGAATATAAATCTCATCTTTTGATTTCTCAGCAACCTTTCTCTGACAATCATTACATAAATAAAACTTTTTTTTTGCCTAGTATATGGTTATCTGATAGCAATGTACTTGAATGTATTTTTGAATGGATATATATATATTTACTCTCTCAAACGTATATTATTTTTTCTGCCAACTTTCATATGTATTCTGTGATTTTCATTTCAAACAATGGCTGCTGTCTCGATCAACACTTTTAAGAAAATATGGAAAATCAAATTATATATTTGTTAAAAGTGACATAATTTGATTTTCAGTGTCTGTTCGTCTGTCTGGAGTCATATTTCAGAACCATGTCGACCAAATCTGTTCATTCTTTGCATGTGCTTAGTATAGTACTTTATCTGGAACATATGCACATCCAGTGGTTTACTGATTTAATCCAAGATGGCCGACTGCAAGCCATTTTGTTTTTTGAAAATGGGATATTTTATGCATGCTTTGTCAGTTTTTGTTAAAATTCATTATAATCTATTAGATACATTTTTGATGATCAGATCAAAGATGGCCAACTGGCAGCCATTTTGTTTTTTGAAAATGTGGTATCTGATGCATGCTTTGTCATTTTTTTTTCAAATTTTGTACCGTACATGCTTCTTTCAGTTCAAACTAGGTACATACATTGCACATTTTAGATTACATGTCCATGACAATTTGTTTTACAATCAGATCAAACAGGCTATCTCCAAGGCTTATAGACCATTTTCATTCATAATTGGCACATACATCATTCATATAGGAATACATGTTCATGTCAGTTTCTTCCATAATCAGATCAAAGATGGCTGACTGGCATCCATCTTGTTTTTTTGAAAATGTGTTATCTTGGATAGGATTTGTCAGTTTTCAAATTTGATATAAACATTATACATGTCCATGATGATTCGTTTTGTGTTTCATTTCTTTGTATGGACAAATGAAACTCGATTTGGATACAAAAAATGCATGAATAGCATATCCTGTTTAATTTCTGACCACATATTACGATTTTGGAAGTGATTTAGGGACGACGTCAAAAGATCGATGTCGGATAAAAAACTTATTCCCTTTAGTTTGGGGGGGGGGGGGGGGTTTGACCTCAAAAAGTTTCCATCCTACAAAAACGATTTTATTTTTTAATGAAGTCAAAAAAATCTTGGAGTATTTGTAGTTTTTTTTTCTATCCAATCATGGACAGAAATAACCGAAAAGGGAAAAAAAAACAGAAAAATGGTTTGGTTCGAGTGTAAATCTGCGTCAAATGAGGTGCATTTGTAAAATCTTTTTACACCCACCCGACAACCAACTGCTATGCTATACT